GAATGATCCTTGCGCCGTTGCCGCATTTCAGTGTTTGTCATTTAACGATTGACAGTTGTTGATAAAAGGCCAAATGAAATGGAAAATAAAACAAAAGCACGCCACGCGAAGCAATAAGCAGCAAACAACAAACAACAGTTGCGACAGCCAGCGAACAACGCAACCCAACACTAAACACCTCCAGCTGCCAGTGTTGACAGTCGCAATGAAAATGTTAATGATGCGCCGTCGAAAAAGGTGTCAACTGCTTAGCCAAAATTGGCTCTTGGCCCAAAGAAGTTGCACTCGCTCTCTCTCTCCCTCTCTCTCTCTTTCCCACTCCCTCTCTCTATGTGAGCTATTTATCATTATGACATTGTTTGGCTTTTCGAGCTGATTTGCCCTGGGAGCGCCAGCTGCGTCGCCTTAGGTCTCCAAGCTGTTAATCAAAGCCAGCACAAAAGTTGCGAGCTACATTCAACTGGGGAATATTTTTGATTCAAATATGAGTGAAGCTCTTTGCACTCTGTTTATCTTCAGAGCGAAAGGATGTGTTAGCCTCTGGCAGCAGCAGTCGCAGCAGCAGCAAAATATCTTAGTTTTTTCTTTTGACTTTAGAATATGAATCAATAAAAATAGTTAATTGCTGCAGCTGCTGCGGATGAGTTCTCTAAATAAAGCAGATTTGATACAAATTTAGCCTTATCTTAAATATAAAATATCATAAAAAAATATATATTTTATAAATTCCATTGATGCCTTATGTTTTATGTAGTCGATATAAAACGATATATATGTATAGAATATATAGAATATATAGACGTGTTAAAGGCTTCTAGTGCGTGGTTTGCTGCTGAATAATTGCATTTGTGAAGTTATTATAAATGTTGATTTAGTCTTCTAAGGATAGCTTGTGTTGCCTAATTAGAGACATTGTGCGTATCGGTTAGAGTGACATATATATATATATATATATATATATATATATATATATATATATATATATATATATATGTATATATATATAAATATATATGTCGTTACTGTGTGTATTTGGTCACCTTCCAATAATTAATTCCCACTGTGCTGTCTTACAAAACAACTCTGTTCTCATGACGTAAATAGACATCTCCCTCTTACTCAGCGACACTCCGAAATTCGATTAACAGCATCTATCTTCGTCTCTCTCTCTCCTTCTGGGAATTAGACCAGCGTGTAGCTAAGACGCACACTCATTCGGATAATATTTTACAACAACTGCAAGCGATAATATTACTGCAATAGTAGAATTAGCGAAATGAGTAGCTAAGACGCAAACTCACTCGGATAATATTTGTATAGCAACCATATACCAACTCTCTGCCTTACACTAATACTACTGCAGCAGTAGAAGGCAGACAAAATTGAACCGAATCATACTAGAATATTATACAATACCAGAATATTATACAAATATATTTGTATATAATTATAATCCATATATATTATTTTATGTTTTATTTACCTACTGCTTTCGCTTTAAATAAGTTATTAAAAATTTTTAATTTAACACATAGTAACAAACATAATTTCGTGTATTAATTATGTAACCGCAAACTTATAAAATATATCTATAAAAATAAATTTTTTTCTGCAATGTGCCATCAAAGCGCACAAAGAATCTGTCAGAGTGGGTAAGCCTCGGCTCGTCGCGGCTCGGGTCGGCTGAGCTCGCCTGACTCGCAATCATTTCACATTTACTCAATTACGTTCATAACTGTCAGATTGGGGCCGTGTTTGGGGCCGCAACACGACAACCGGTTAAGCCAATTTATTAAATAAAAAACCATTTGTCACATTTTATTCAAGTTTTCAACGCCTTTTTGGCTTTGCAGCCCGGTGTTGCGTGGCCCGTTGCTATCTTTATGACACTTTCAGTGGTCAATGGAAACTGAAAACCCCTAAAAAGCCATAAAGCCAGCGACCTGGTCGAACGCGGTCAACAAAGGGCGCTGGACAAAAGGTCATCCCGACTTTTTTCTTCATTAATTTCACCTGCCCGACTGATAAAAAGCGAGCGCAAAACAACAGCCGAAGTTGATCATAAAAATAATATAAGTAATAACCAGATAATAACAATGCCAGCGAGCCTCTTCAATTCTCTACCTTTTGTCCCTGACCTTTTTTGGAACGACAGATTGCAGACGACGCGAGGTTGTCAGGACTTGAAAGAAGTCGAAAGACTATTAAGACAATGCCGTCTGCCCACCGCAATTAGTTGATTGCCGAGCAGGCTCAACTCCGTCAAAGATTGTAAGTGCTTTCAATTTCATAGCCAACCAGAGTCGCTCTCTCTCTCTCCCACTCTCGCCTTCTCTCTCTTTCTCTGCCTCTCTCTTTCGTTTAGTTGAGGCGCTCTCAACGGAAATTAAACTTGTCCAAAAGTTTAAATGCCTTTCAGCCGCTTCCCGTTGTGTTTTGCTTGACTTTTGTTCTCAACTTGCCATTGCCACGCCCTGCCCCCCTCTCCCTGGCCATTTCGCCCACAGTTTCCATTTACGTACATTTATTGTATGTGCCCACTCGACGAGTTTTCTAATTTGCGCGCACCAAGCAATTAAAGACAGCATCCGTTCTGATGCTCCAAGGCAGCCTCCTTCTATGCACATTGTATCTCATCCATCCCAGCTGCTTATGCAACAAATTAAGCATGTCAAGTTACTCATACGCCTCGTTATCCCCGCCTGCCAGCTCAAGTGTAGCTAATGAACGCCGACTTGCAACCTTGACTGTGCCACAAGCGCGCGTTACACGTTGATCTTTTGACTGATAGTTCTAAGCATCTTATGTGAGCGAGCGTCTGCCTAGTATTTCCTTAGCCCTGGCATACAAAATGTAGGTCTAAACACAAGGCTGATGCAGTTCATATGACTTATGTGAGGGTTAAATGTTAGCTAGAAAAGTTGTGGTAAGTGTGCAAAGAGCTTTGATTGAAGGAAAGTTTCTGAATTATATAAAGAATTACTCTTAATACCTACAAGACAAAAGACTACTTGAGGTTCATTTAGTGACTGCCACTAGCAATTGTTGTTCACACTGTTTAGCGATTATACTTAAATAATAATTATAATTTAGCAGATTCTGAGACAGCTAAATAAAATGTATAAAAAGTCATCTTTTTGTGGTTGTGGTTGAGATAGATGAAAATGCTTTATGCAGCGTCAACCAGGTAATCAAAAACTTTCTACCTCTCTGAAGGTGCCTCCTACCGTGATTAGTGGAGGAAGCTCTTGAATCTTTCATCAGCAGATTCGCTTGTGTTACTCCGGCTAAGCTGTAACCATTTGAGAATTCTATGTTAACAAAGAGCGTCAAAGCAACTGAAGCCAGCGTCCATTTTTTGTGTGTGCTTGTCCAATGGAGTACAGTTTGAGTGAGTGAGAAAAAATGGAAGACAGAGAATAGGCGAGAGAGAATGAGAGAGAAATACTTATATATAAACTGTATGTATGCAAAGGCTGTGTTCTTGCTGTTGTTAAAATTATTTTATATTTATTTTGATAATTTGTTTAGCGACTTTTGAGTTCAGCTCTTGATACATGATAATACTCAAAATAACTTCAAGCATAATATGTGAAGTGTGTAATAATATTTAGCAATGTATTTTCCATGGCCTTGTTAAATTGTGTTTAAAATATCATCTGTTTTTTTAGTTAAGATTTGCAACATTTTTTAAACCAGAGGAATTAATCTCTTTAGCCTATGCCTGCTCTTATTGGTAGCCAGATTAGAGCTGGCTTAGATGTGTTGTCAATTTATAAACTAATTTGCAAATAGATTCCTATTAGGTTCAGTGCATTTTCGCAGCGCTTTATTTTATAGAATTTTATTTTGGTTTGTTAAAGACCGTTTGGCAGAGCTCAAAGGATGAATTGCATATATCAAGTTACGGAAGACTTCAGGGTTTATTTTTCAGGTTTAATTAAGAAGATTTAATCAAGATTTGGAATTAGCTTTTGTTTTGAGAGTGGATCGCGTATCAAATTCGCGGAAGGAAAGGAAAACTTATAGCTATATTAAGCTATTCTCATATATATGGATACATTAAATTTCTATTAAAATAGTTTAAAGCCTTAGCTGAACTTGAAAAAGGTTTTTTTTTTCAAGTGAAATCATGTGCAACTGTTGCCTAAGGGCTGCGCACTTACAGCTGAAAGGAAGGAAGTTTCTGAAAGAATTTTAAGTGGAATATGCACTGTGTCCTACGCAGACTCTCTTTCTCTGTCTTCGTCTCTGTCTCTCGTGCCGTCTGTATCAGTGATAAGCGCTGCTCATGCAACCATAATTAAGCCACAAAGTTGGCAACTATTAATGCAGGCTATGCTTGCTGTTAGCACATAATTTATAACCACTCATACAAAGGGCAAACAGAACGAGAGGCAGGCAGAGAGAGTGATGGGGGAACAAATTGTTAAACGCTGCGTTATGCAAATGAATAAATAATGAAATATTTAATAATTTCATGATGAAAACTGATACAAAAGCGAAGGAAAAAAGCATGTTATAATAGTAATAATAAATGCGCGCATTAAAAAATATGTTTATTAAAACATGCCATGCATTTTGATATAATTTTCATATCCATTTTGTTGTTGTTGTTGTTATTTGCAGTTGAGGACAACATCGAGGTCCTTGTGGACACGCCTGCAGCTAGGCAATGGGAATTGCATTTCAACACTCAGCCAAGGGCTGAACAAATTGTTGCGCGTAAATATTTAACTGTCGCAATGCATTGCCATTGAAACAAAGATAAAGAGCACATTTTCGCACAGATAAAGAATATGCGAGTCGAAAGCAAATAGGCGAACCCACCCACCCGGCGAACCAAACAAACTATGCAGCTACTAGCACTCGCGTAAGCATTGACAAAAGCAAACCAAACAAGATTCCAGCAAAAATAATAATAGGGCAAATATTAAACAGTCAAGAAGAGGAGATAGAGAGAGAGAGAGAAAAAAAAGAGAACGCATAAACAAATAAAAATGAAAATTAAAATATTTCCGCTGACAGCGGATGCGACAGCAACAGCGGCAACAGCAGCAACAGCAGCAAGCGCAGCAGCAGCAATGAAACTGCAACGGAAACATAAAATGCCGGAAATATGCTCATGGCTAATTGTTGCCGCTGCCGCCGTCTCGGCCAGTTGGTTGACCCTTTCGCGGTCTCTGGCCGCCGCACAGGACGCCCACGACGAGGACAGCGAAATGCATCAGCATCATTTGGATCTGTTGCACCACCAGCAACAGCATTCAGACTTCATTATTGGCGAATCCGAGGAACGAGATCACATAGCACATCATCTGGGTAAGTGCAAACAGATAATGTACGAACATATCCCAGTCATTAAATATTTAATATAATTATAAACTCGGCTGAAAAGGGTTGAAAAAAGGGTTTCCCTAGAAGAATATGTACAAGCGTAAATAAATTATTATAAAATATTTTAATAAAAGAAAAAAACCAAGTTAATTAATTTGATTAAGATATTTTAATAATATTTTTTTATTTCTAAATAATTTCAAATCAATTTATTTTTATTTTATGAAGATTTTAATAGAAATATTATTATTAAATATTACTATTTTACTCTTTATATTTTCTATATTTGATGTCGTTTTTTTTGGGTTTTTATATTACTTAAATATTATTTTTTTTTTTCTATATTCAACATTACAATTCGTTTTTTTCTTTCGTTTTTTATTTAAATTGATTTAGATATTTTAATAATATTTTTTTTATTGCTTAATAATTTCAAATAAATTTATTTTTATTTTATGAAGATTTTAATAGAAATATTTTTATTAAATATTATTATTTTACTCTTTATATTTTCTATATTTCATGTCGATTTTTTTGGTTATTTATATAACTTAAATATATTTTTTTTTTTCTATTTTCTACATTACAATTCGTTTTTATAGTTTTTTGTTTAAACAATTTATTAAATAATTTAAAATAATACAGAAGTTTTGATCAAAATATTTGCTTAATCTAAAAAACTTGACAATATATACTACAAATTTGTTCAAAATCTTAAATTTGATTACTAATATTTATATAAATAATTTATTATAAAATATTATAAGACAAAAATTATAGAAAATATTATTTGATTTATTTAAAATGTGTACAAATTATAATTCAAATATTTATTCATATATTTAAACATTCAGATTAATACTTTTTAACAATTTAATAACTTTAAAGCCTTATAAATAACTTCTTGAAATTATTTTAATGCTAAATTTATGTATAAAAATAAATGGAAAATCTCAAAAGAAAGCAAAAAACAATTTCAATTGCAGTCAAGTAACTGAAATTCAGCTTTGTGGATTATGGGACTTAGTACCTGTCCGACTTTGCCAGAGCTGCGCAGCGAACTTTTAAGCTCAAGCACAATAATACGAGCTACTCGTGCAAGTCCTTTGACAAATTAAAGCGTTCCAAAGAGAAAGTATCTTATAGTTCAGAGATGAATTCCAGCCACGTCATTTGGTTCGATTTTTGTAGCTGACACGAAGATACACACGAGAGAGAGAGAGGGGAACGGAAAACCCCCAAAGGGAAGGAGGTTTTGGGGGAGCCAACACGCTCTATTTACGTTTGCTTTTGCTTAGCACAAGGTCAACTTGGCGTGTGGCTGCCAAGTGCCAACAAACTTTTGAGTGTCGCCCGGCTGTGGCCTGCTCCACTCCTTGTCACTTGAGCGGAATTATGTGAGTGACAGGCGGCAGGGTCGGCGGAGTTCTGGCTGCCCAAAACACCAGTTTGGCTCATTGCACACTGCGGGCCAGTTGTGGAGTTGTAGACGACGTGCTTTTTGGGCGACTGGCTTTAGTGGCTGTTTAAGTTGGCCCTAAGACCTAAGCCGTTCACAGAATAATTAAAGCGCCCACATGGCGTATGCGTATTCGCATTCGAATTGCGGCTGCCTGACATAAACTGTGGCCTGTCTGTGCCCAAATGTCTAAACACACACACAGACACACACTGAGGGCTGGCCAGAGCCGTGTTTTGCGGCCACTTAAGTTTTCTTTGTCCCTGACTTGTGGGCTGCTGTTGCTGTGGGTGCTCAACAAGTGGACAACAGTTGACATTGTTCAACAATGTTCTAACGCTCAAAATCCCTCAGTATACATATATATGTGTGTGTGTGTGTGTGTGTGCGTGTTTTGCTTAATATGAAGGCATCTACTTAGGCCGTTGGCTTTTGGCCGAACACAAAAAGTGATTGACACTCTGATTGATGGCGCTTTGGGTCGTCGAGCAGTTTTTTCTTTGGGTTTATGACTTGACAATGTTGACCAAGTTTCATCGTGCAATGCACTGAATTTAAAGCGAGTTATTTTCGCTTACACACACACATATGTGCCAACACGACTTTTTAGCCACCATCAACAAGTTTATGGCAAATTTATGAGGCTCTGACCATTTCAGAAAAGGGTTATGCCTTTGATTAAGAGATTTCTGTATGGATACGAAGCGTATTTTATTCTGTTATAGCATTATTATTGCTGTAAATTGATTTATTTAATTTAATTATTTTCTTTTTATGTTATAAAGACTTATACATAAGTCCTTTCGTGTTATTTTTACACGAAAAACTTCTTAGAGTGAAAACGTATTTTTTTTTTATTTCAAGATATTTTTCGCTTTTCTTTACCATATTAATTATAAAACAGGTAAACAGTATTTAGAGAGCGAGTAACGAAGAGACAAACAAACTTGGTAAAGAGTGGAGCAATTGAGAGAAGAATAGAGAAAGAGAGAAAGAGAAGGTGATAGAGAGAATGAGAATAGAGAGAAAGAGATTGAGATAAAGAAAGTGGTGAAAAAAGAGCGAGTGAAACGAAGGAAGCGAGATAGTCAGAGAAATATACATATATAGAGAGACATATGTAGAGAGATGGCAGGTGAGATAGAGGAATTTAGAGAGTATAGAGACAAACAGAGAGAGCGAGAGAATGAGTGAGAGAGAGAGAGACTAAGAAAAAGAGAGAGTTGTTGACGTTCAAGTTAATTTATAAGCTGTCTTATAAAATTCATTTAAGATTAAAAGATTACAAAGAAATTGTGAATTTCATTCTGCCAAACTTTGATCGCAAGCCAGTAAAACTGATTTGCACATATAAGAAAATACGCTCAACATAAATTAAATCTTAATTAACGTTTTGACTTTATTTTAAAAACATTTCTACTTTCAAGCTAAGTTATCCAGTTATTGTAATTAAAAGTTTCCATTGGAATAAATAAATATCGAAATAATTGGCTACGCGCACAATTCATTAATAATTTATGTATGAAGCGCAAAACTTTTGGCATTCGGTTATCAAAAAGTTGCGCCCGCTGCCTGTAGATGGTCGGAGATAGTTCTGCTTGGCGCATCTTTTGAAAGGATTTTAATCACGTAGTCTAAACTTTAACGTTTTATCAATTTTGTACGTCTGGCTCGTCGGGCACGTTTGACTTTGTCAGATGAAATTTCTCCTTAGTTCTGCTTGCACTTAACTGTTTGCGCACTATGCATTTGTTGATGTTTGGGCGCCTGCCACGCCCAATTCCCTGCACCGTTAAGCATTGAGCATCGAGCGTCGAGCATCGAGCATGGAGCTGCCCCAATCCTTTGCGCTGCAATTGTTTGACAATTTTTCAACGATTTTCCCCAACGCGCTGGCAAAAAATTGGACGCCCATTTACAGTGTGTGTGTGTGTTTGTGTGTGTGTTTGTGTGCGTGTGTGGGTTGTTGTGTGCATCTTTCACACGCTCTAGCGCTGCCGCTAAAAGTATGCAACACTTTTTGCGCTTTGCATTGTTTAGCGCGTCGCCTGGCCAACGGGGCGGATGAGCAACCAGCAACGAGCAGAGCAACAAAGCAACAGCAAAAAAATAGAGAGCAGCGGAGTGAAGTGAAGTGCAGTGGAGTGGAGAGGAAGCCAACTACAATCACGGCTGCTGTTGGCCTTTGAGGCGTTTTGTTGCTTTATTGTGTGGAGTGTGCGTGAGCTCTTGTTGTTGTTGTTGTTGTTGCTGTTATTGTTGCAGCTGTTGCTGTAATTTGTATTTCATTTTGCATACTGCTTTCGTGACATCTCAAAAGGGTACACACTCGCTGTAGGGTATATGCGCACTTGCTGTAGGGTTCATGTGATTAAGTGTATTTTCAATGTGCCAATCTCTAACTACAAATGCTTTGAGTTGATGTGGACAGACAGTTGAATAGAAAGAGAGAAGGAAAGATGAACAGATAACAGACGAGCACTGCCCCTTGAAATACTCGATTTACTTTGTGAACGAGCATAAAACAATGTAACGAAATGATGATCAGACAAGAGAGTTTATATTTGCGATATCTTTATATAGGCAGTTGCTAAAGTTATCGATGACATCTAAGTGCCTAAGTACTTATAAGGATTTGCTATTTGAACCTAACAGTGCCGAAGATATCATTAAGAAATCGTGCTTTGCATCATGAAGTCACACACCTGAGAACTGCTCGATAAGTGGTCTAGGCGCCCGCATTCGAGCTGCTGTGGCGTGCTTAATATCTTACCCAGTCACTCAAAATTTTAACATAGATATACCCAAGCTATACCATACACAATGCCAACTCAGAAAAATTTTAAATTTAAAAAGTTTTGCTTTTATTGCAATTCTCTTTGCAATTTTGCTTTGTATATTGAAGTCTTTATTGTCGTGTCTCTCATATTAAATGGATTAAAAATATATTTTTATATTCTTTTGCTGCCTTTTTTTGGTTAGGGTATTCAGGTTACAGCAGGTTGCTTTGCTGTTGCGCTTTTTGTCTGTTGCCTCTTGGCGAATGTTTGTTTTTAGCATCATTTCACGTTAGCTCCGTTTGTTCGTGTCTTGTTTGAAGTTGCCTTTGTAGTTCTCCATTACAGACACAGAAAGAGAGAGAGAGAGAGAGAGAGAGAAATTTAATTTAGCTCGAGACCTAACACTTTGCATTTGACCCCTGCCCTGGGCAGCTGGCAACTGGCAAGTGGCACAATCTCTCCTCCGTATTTTTTTTGGTAATGAAAAGTCTTGCATTGGTAAATATCCAAAAAATAAATGCGACTGGCAAACACACAACTCAATTAGCAAAAGTTTTATGGGCCAGCACTGTGACTTCTAGCTGAATGCGATATGATAAAGTTATTCGAGTGTTGCCAGCGACCTCTTGACACATGACACAGTGCATTGGCAACAGCTTCACGAAAATTCAGCATTAAATTTGACTCGACTAATTTTGAAAGTTGCCTTGGCCAACAGCTGAGCAGAGCTTTGCCTGCTCCGCCTC